AAAAAAAAAAAAAAAAAATAGTAATAGATCTTGAAACAGCTGAATACAATAGATAAGGAAAGGACTAACTTTTCTAGTAATTGATTTCATGTGTTGACTTCTATAGCAAAGTTTTTGCTTTTGACAGTGAGTGCCATTCCCGGTCAATGAAAAGCTCTCACACTAACCAAGGCTACTCCTATGGATGCTGATATATGCCAAATGACCAAAGTCAAATAGAAGAATGTTTATGGATAGTGTAGAGAAAAGAACTGAAAAGTACCTGATCATCCGGGAAAGACAGAAAAACAGACAATCCCAGAGTCTGAGGTGGAAGGAAAAAGAGAGGAATAAGTGGAGTCTAGTTTGAAGTGAAAGCCGGATGAGTGAAACTCTCAAAACCCCGACCCTTGGAGGCTCATGAGAATTGGCCAGAGGTGTTTTACCCAGGTCAGGGAAGGAAATTTATGGCCTATGAATAAAGGCCTGTTTTTTCATGGGCCAGGAGAAGTAGGCAAAGATCATAGGTTTGGTCTGTGAATGAAATCAAGAACTAAGAAGACAGGTCTTTTAGCTAGTACTAAATTTAGGAAGCCAGACCTGGGAAGTATTTTGTTTAACTCCTGAGTAAGCCTGAGTAGATGTCTACACTACTCTGCAGGTGCTGGTCAGGACACAGGACATACCCTGAGAAAGCTTCACAAGGTCCTGAGAACATTCTAGTTACTGTCAGAGCCAGGCCGCGAGGAAGAGGTCATTGCTGAGGTTGAATATCATCCATGGTCCATCTGGTTCCTAACGGTGTATTTGGAGACTGTCAAGGCAAGATTTCTAGTATATCCTCACACACCCCAGGGTTTACAGTGTTAGTGTAAGCAAGCCAATTTCCATCTCTGGGACTTAATTCCCTCCTCCACAGGATGATATAAATTTCACTGAGCTGTTATAAGAGTTAAGTGAAGAGTTCAGGCAGTTGAAGTGCTTTAATAATAGTGTAAAAGTCGCTTGAATCTTGAGTCATTATCCTTTGCTATTCTGCATCACTTTTAAAAATTTGGGTCACAGAAAGGCCTGTTGCTTCCATATCATTTACTGGAAGTATATCTCAGGCTCTTCTCAAGCCATGAGCAGCATCCCCCCGATCTCAAAGTCCTCCGGAGAAGATCTGGAGTTACATTGTGAGGAGCAGAAGAGAGGTCGCTCTTGCAGGTGAACTGGGACTCAGGGCGTCTGTGATGCTTATGGCTTTGACTCCATGGAGAGCTTTGAGAAAAGGATCATCCAGCTCAGTAGTTGACTAGTTCAGAAGTATGAAAAGAAGCCATCAAAACATCTGCCAGTTTCACTTGGGAGGTAAGAGGTTCTGTTGTAGAGTTGTGATCATGGTTTTGTTTTCAGAGTGGTTGAACCAAGACTGAGAAGCCTGCACTTCTGTCACAAATGTCAAAATTCCTTTTAAAATATCCTGAAGGGGAAAGGTAAGCTGATTCTGGGAGGACAAACTTTAGTTCTGGAAAAAAATCCATTCTAGAATTTTCACATTTCATTTTTACTATGACCTCACTTAGCACCAAGTCCAAAGTCCTTTTCACAGATGTTATTCTCTAACAAAAGTCCTTCTTGTGGTAATCTAGAGCTGACATGGAACACACAGAAAGATGCCTGGTGCCACAAGTTCCTCTGGTCTGGGACCTTCAGATAGACTTTTGGTTTCCCTGTCACTCACAAGCCAGCATAGGGCGATAAAGATAACCAAGACCAAAGGAGGCTGGGTCCTCAGACCACTCCCCAGCTAGGCCTCAGGTTACTTGAAAGAATACAGACACAGGAAAATCCAGCAGGTGAGAGGCCAAACTGAATCCTATTTCTCTCACTGCAGTATACAAAGAGAGGAAATTTAACCTAATATTGAGCACAGTGGTGAGCCAGGAATCTGTGCTCTGGTCCTAACATTGCCCATGTTCAGCTGTATATCTCTTAGGTGGATCACTTAACCTCTCTGTGTCTCAGTGTCCACATCTTTCGAAGGGAAATAACAAAGTGGCTTCCTCATAGTATTGCTAGGATAAACAAAGAGATAAAATGGAATAATCCATGTAAAGTCCTATGAAAAAGTAAAAAAATACTACACAAATTATTATTCAGTGATAAGATACTTCACATGCTTGATATTCTCAGGCTTCCCACTCTCCACCCCATCTAATCCCAGCTTCAAGGCAACAAATTCCTCCAAAAAGAAAGCCTTTTTTTCTATTGGAGCAACTTTGTATACAATCAATACATCTGTGTCAACCCAAAGGTTCCTCTGGGCCAAGTGATAACCCTGTGAATCCTTTTTCTGGAAGTCCAGGCCATTAAGACCATAAACACCTGAAAAATATGAGGCCTTCTACTCCTGCAAACCTCTACATGATCCTCAGTTCTGAAGGGCCAGAACAGCTCAAAATAAGAAGTCAGACAGTCCTAGGACTTTCACTAACTTCACTGCCAAGGTGCAACCACACAGGAGGGCAGGGTCCCTTACTACTCAGAGAGTCCTGTGCTCGTTACAGAAGCAACAAAGTCTGCACGCTTGGATATGGTTCACCCCTCTCCTACCACACCATGTGCAGGAACAGAACTGAGCCTCAACAATTAAGCAACAGCATTTTTTGCATGACTTCCATCACTTGAGCATGCCCCAAACTTCCAGATGAACTACTTACATCTACAGCAGCTGCCTAGTCATCTGCCATGGGAGAACATGGGCAATTGAAACTCAACTTCCTCTTCCACTCAGGTATGTGCTTTTCCCCGTGTTACCATCCCAATGAGCCAAGACACACCCGAACATTGAGTCAAAGAAGTTTCTCTGCCTCAACTCCTACCATCAATCAGACACCAAGTCCAAAACTCTTGTGATCTGATAACTCTTGAAACCCTTGCTTCCTCTTCATCCCCATGGCTACTGAGTTCATTCAATCTCCTCTTTTTCCTCTGTATTCTTCTGGTCTCCCTTACCACCACTGAAATGACCCTTCAAATTTCACTCAAGCCGTGTCTTCCTTCCTTCCTGCTAGAAGTCCTTCATTCACCTACTTCCCAAGTCCCCAAGACTGAATCCCAACTCTAAACATAATTGACAAAGTGTTCCCACCATTCTGGTGCCAATCAGTCTCACTCCCCAGAGTATATCCTATCAAGCCGAGTTATCTGAAGCCCCCTGAAGTGCCCCAGAATTTCTCTTACTTTTGGATTTTTCAGGTTATCATTCCCTTAGACTAATTTATTTCACTTTCCCTCTTCACTAGCTCAACTTCTTCAGATTTCAGCTTAAAATCATGTCCTCTAGGAAATGTTCTGTAAACAGGCCCTTTTCCTAAAGTTAGATGCTCCCCTAGGGCACACCCCAATGACTACCATAGCACTTTACCATAATTTGTTTTTGTTACTTGTTTATCTCTTCCACTGTAAATGTAGACTCTAAACATAAAACTACTTTATTGACCTATGTGTACGCAGCACCTAGCAGAGTATTTGACACACACAAAGAGTTTTGTGTGTTAGTGTGCATAATTGTTTTAGTTGGGATAACCCAACTACAAGATCTAAGAGCCACGAAACCTTGAAGAGCCACAAAGGATCTCTTTTGTGGGGGTCTTCAGTTGAACTGTCATGGCTGCCTTGTTGTCTTGAATCAGTTCAAAACATTTATCTTTCATGGTCATTATCTTTCATGGAAAAGCCAGAAGTTGCATGGTCATTTTGACTCTGGAGAAGAGCCAGAAGTTGCAGGATGCCAGATCTGGTGAATAAGATGGATACACAATAATCTTTTTATGAGATTGCCTTTCCATTGGATGGATCTTGGCAGTAGCATTCATCTCATGTTGATCACATCTCATAAAGACACCCATGAAAGAGGACTTCCAGAGCGGCTTCAGAAAGTGGCAAGAATAATGGGATAAACATTATTCTTGGGATAAGTGTACACTAACAAGGGAAAGTATTTTACAGATGATTTTTTGTGCTGGGAATTGAACTCAGGACCTTGCACTTGCCAAGCAGGCACTTATGCCACTGAACTATATCCTAATGGAGGATTAATAGTATGTCTTTTACATAAAAAGTTTTTTTTTTTTAATTTATACATTCAACTTTATTTTTCAATTGCCCCTTACATAGGATCTCTAGGGTCTCTCTAGGGCAAACTATTTTCAACAAAGCAGGCAAAAGGTCACTAGTATCAGAGGCCTACCCAAACTCCAAGAGTCACCAAAAATGTTCAAGTTAACATTTCATTTTTTTCCTAACATTTCATTTCTGTGACCCTTTTCTAAATTCTCATCTCCAGTGTCACTGAGACTGACTGATCTAGGACACGCGTGGCAGTTGTGCTTCTGGGGAAGCTTGATGAGGCGCAGCCACTGAGTAACTAGCAGAGCTGGGGCTTCAAGACCAGAGGATGTTACAGGGCTGGGGGATTAAGCTGGGAGCTAACCTCAGAGCTTCAAGTTTAGGGCTGGCTGGAGTCACCAGGAGGATTAAAGGCACAAGGCCTGAGAAGGCAACAGGAGAAGTGGAACAGGGCCAAGGGGCACAGGGATAGGGGAGTGGAGGACATGGCACAATACTAAGGTTCCAGCTTGAGGCAAGACAAGGGTGTGGCAGAAGGGAAAGGTAGAGTTGTGGGGCTCTGGGTTATTGTCAAGGTGAATAAGCACTCCCAGAAAGCTGGAAGGAAAATGGACAAGAAGGTCTCCCATAGCTCATCTTCAAGAAATCTGTGTCCCCACGTGCTCAGGTACCTCTATGAGACATCCCTTGACCACACACCCAACAAATGCACTGATTCAAACTCTAAGGCAAATCAGTCTTGGGCTGTGGGTGCCACAAAATATTTTCCCCATTTTCATTGCCAAAAGGAAAAAACTTCAGCTCTCTCTTCTACTAGTTGTAAGGCCCTGAACTTCAGCTTTCAGTGGTCACCTCATACAACTCTTGGAAGGGAAGGTTAAGTGAGATAATGCTCACAAAGCACTGCACACAGTTCCAAAGGCAGAGTGTTTGATAAATTGGCTCTTCCCCCTTTCCCTTCCACTCCAAATGAAGCCCGGTCGTCCCCATCTGAAATATATGTGTGGGAGTGAAAGTAGAGGCGGAGAAGGACCTATGTTGCTGACTCATTAGGACAGAAGGCATGAGTCAGGGCTGTTTGGCATCCCAGGATGGAACAGAGACATTCCTCCCCCCACCCCCTCGTCTGCATCCAGGAGCCCGGGGTCTGGGCTGGCAGTGGGTCCCACCTCAGGGAAAGCAGGCTCCGTTAGTACCTTTCTCACCCCGTTCGAAGAGGAGTGCTGGATGGTGCTGTCCACCGAAGGGACACCGTGAGGAGTTTCTTCCCCAGATGTCTGCGGCAAGGCAGCAGCAGCAGCAGCAGCAGCAGCAGCAGCAGCATTCTTGTCAGGAGGGAGAGCTGGCTTTGGGCCCTCTGATGCTGGAGGCTCATCTGTAACCTAGAAAAGAAAGTAAGAGCTTGGGTGGTTTTACTTCAGAGAAGAGCAACAGAAGCAGCAGCAAGGTCTAGCTTGTGTCTATCCTGTCCTGCCCACTGCAACTACCTACATGTATACTGCTTAAATGATTTCAAAAATGAAAACGACTGGCATCTAAACCCTTTGTAAAACTACCTCATAATGACAGAACCCAAACCAAGAATTCAAAGCTAACTTTGTCATAAAAACTTTAGCAAGCCTGACACGGGTTTTTTTTTGTTTTTTGTTTTGTTTTGTTTTGTTTTGTTTTGCTTTACTTTTTTGTTGTTTGTTTGTTTTTGCAGTGCTCGGGTTTGAACCTAGGGCTTCATGCATGCTAAGCAAGCACTCTACCACTGAGCTATACCTGCAGCCCCATAATACAGTTTTTATTCAGATTTACCTTGTGGTCCTCTCTGGACCCTAAGCCTTCTCTGTCACCACAGGAATTATTCCATACACCTTCCAAGGTATATGAATTGAGCCTCAGCAAAGTAGCATCTGGAGTTGTTAGTGCTGAAGTATAAGTGTGAGGCCTTACATTTTTTTGACAAGGCAAAAGTCTGTAGTATTTCTTTGAAAATATGTGATTATAGATGTTCAGGAGGCAAGTAAAGGAAAAAGTGAGAAGGGGTAGGGAGAGAAAGGATAGAATAGGAGATCTGGGGAAAAAAGGAAAACAGGAGCTAAGAATAAAGATGTGGAATACAAAAATATCACAGAGGTACAAACTACACTTCCTCAATTGGCTTTTAGCTGAGAAAATAGAGGAGAGGCATTCAACTTCCCCCTAAGATGAGATTAAGGCCTCTTCTGTGGTGTTATCAAAAATGCATGGGATCCAAGTCTTTACTCAACACTGTACAATCTCTAGGCAAACTGCCTGCTCTCTCTAATCACCATTGCTGCACCTATAAAATACTGAGAGTAAATACTAATTGTTGGATAAATACAGTGTTGGATAAATGATATATATAAACACATGCCTAATCTAGTAGATATGAAATACAGTTTAACTCCACACCTGTGCAGAGTTACAAAAGTGCCTCCTTAAGCTCTCCCCTTTCCTAGGATAAGTTCCCAGGGGAGAGTTTGGGAAGTTACAAAGATAAGGATATATCTGCTCTGGCAATGGCAGGAGTCTAGCATAGCTTAGAAGGTCCCATCTGTGGAAAAGTCCCCAGTGTCCTCCAGGAAGACCAGGTTAAACCAGGTCACTCTGGGGAGCTGTGTTGGGACTAGGCACTATGCTCCCTATAGCTTCCTTGATGTGGAGGTTGAGTCCAGAGAGGTTCTGAAATCTAAGAACTGAGCTCAAGGTCACCCTAAGATGAAGAAACTGCTTCCTGCACCACACTGACTGGGAAGGCTGCATTTCTTGAGCATTCCTAGGGTGGGTGGCTCACCTGCAGGGCATCCTCCTGGCTCTGGGACTGGACAGGTGCTGGCTGCCTCACAATGTAGTTGATCTGCCCCACAATGGTTTGCTGAAGATGCTGAGGAGATTTGGTCTGACTCAGCTGCAGGCTGGGCTGCTGGGCCTGAAGGAGGAGCTCCAAGTCCTTCTGCATCTCCTCCAGCTCAAACTTGTGGTGCATTATGTCCACATTCTGAGAACAGGCAGACCCAGGGGGGGTCTCGTGCTGACTGGAAGCCAGGTGCTGGGATGGAGGTAGAGTTGGGGGTGGCTGCAGTGGGGGTGGAGGGGGCGGAGGGGGCGGAGGGTGCAGCTGCTGTTGCGGCGGTTGCTGCTGAAAGTGACTGAGCTTCAGCTTCTGGTGGTGGCCAAACTGCACTTGGATGGAGGGCGTCTGTAATGGGGGCTGGGCATGGGCTCCTTGTTGAATGTCCTGTGGGGGGACGATGCACACGGGCTGGGAAGTCAGTTGCTGCGCAGGCCGCTGGGATGTGCTCTCCTGCTCCACTGAGGGCTGGGTTTCCAGCCAAGGCTGCAGCAGCTTTGGCGGGTGAGGACTGCAGGTCACCTCTTTCTCCCTGGGCAGCAGGGTGGAGCATTGCAGTGACCCCAGGTGCTGGGGCACCATCTCAGAGGGCTGCCTAAAGCTGTGGGCTGGGTGTACGCTGGGTGGGGGCACCTGGCCTTTGACAGAAGGTGAGACTGGGGAGCAATGGGAGCAGCACACAGACGAGGAGCACAGTGCTGCAGGCTGGAATTTGTGTGAGGGATGGCTAAGAGCCTCTTGCTGAGCCGCTGGGGACTGGTGACTTTGATAAAAGGATGGTGGCCCCTGCAAGCCTCCAT